GCGGTGCGTCCTCGTTCGAATTTTAATGGAACGCCATGGTTTATGTACCCGGTTGGGAAACGTGTAGTGGCCGGGATTCACCGTGTTAATGGCGAGATAAGTGCGCTACGAGATTTAATCCCCCGAGCTTCGAATCAGTCCTGACGTCGTCAAGTATAGCTTCCAGGAATTAATTTCCAACATCCACACTTTTACGTTTCCCAAAGCAAAAATCAAACTGTTTAGCTGCAAGGGTTTATATTTGGAGATTGGGGGGTGCAACACGTTGTTTCAATATCGGATCGTATTCCACGTACCCCAGAACCTATATATCGAGTACCCACAAGGTACTCTTATCTCTATTTTTGTATAGATTTAATCCTAATTTATGACCTCGATTATCTTCAAATCTGTCGCGTCGATTTTGATCGAATTGAAATCTGTTGGACACTTTTTCAAAGGCATTTTCCATTCTGAAAACGTAATCTAACTTAATTTAACTTAGTTTAAGAATTAATTGGGGACGTACACTCATCGTAATTAATAGTGACACTCATAATTCGAAACATATAATAAATTCTAACTTATTATAATTGCATCCATTTGAATAATTCATAATAATCAAAGTTCTAACCGCGTAACAATTGAAATATAAGAAACAGTAAGCTGGAAAGACGTGACCTAGTTGCACTCTAGGAACTGTGAACGGTTCGATTGTCATCGCTAGGTCTAGCGTGCATTTCCGCGATATTTCCGTCGCGGATTTAATATTCCGGTGGCTCTTTTACGCGGGACTTCTTTCAGGAGCGGTTCGTTTCACCGATGAACTTCGTTTGAAAGTTCCCGAGGAGGGCGAAATTGGCTCGCGCTGACGAGCGTAGCAGGTTCCAAGTAGAGGGGTGCCGCCCGAGCCACCGGAAAGTGCTCCGGGAAGTATCCGAAAATTATACCTTTAACCGGTCAAAGCGAACTTGCACCGGCGGCCGATTCTTTCCACGGTGGCCACCGCAGAACCACTCAAACCTTTAAAGGCGACCGGGAGGACAAAGGAACTGAAATAGACTGCCGAAAGTACAAGAAGTCACGCGTGCATCGCGCGTCTACGATTGCCAAGTTTCCTCGCGGGGAAACTTGCCGCTAGAGGCCCCCGGCGGCACAGCCCCGGCAATCAGACAGCGAGGGACGGTTGCCTACTCCAAGGCGCCCGAGAGGATTTATTTCTAGTAGAATTCGTAGCCTTGCAAGGACGATATTTTACATAATGTACAACCGATATT